CACATATAGGCTCAGATTCTAAGGATCAAACTTTTTCCCTCTTTTAGAAGGTTAATAATTCTAGGATTTGAAAAATAATTAAGTTATTTTGTAAGTTGCCATAAAATAAAAAAATATATAGTTTTCTTAGTTAAGGGATAAAAAAAAAGGTAAAAAATAGTTCAAATTAAAATGGTTCAAAATAAGAGAGTTTTTGAACATTTTGTCATGGGACCGACTCAAACTGTTACCCTTGAAGAGGGGGTAGGAACCTTACAAGGGGGTATGAACCTTACAAGAGTGACCAAAACCACTTGACCCACAGGGGCAAGTTCCAAAATAAGAGAGTTCAGAACCTAAATTTGGCATTAAATATCACAATATGGTCATCTAAATACTTTTTTCTGTATATATATAGTCATCTAAATCTTCACATCTACGCTAAAATTCCAGGTTAAAGTATACCTTTAATCCCTCATCTTAATAAATTTGAAGATTTTAACTAATCACTTTATATTTTAAAGTTTTTAGCCCCTAAACTTCAATATTTGAAGATTTTAGCTTTTAAACTAATAAAAAATTAACGGAATCGTTAACTCTCCATTAAGTTAAAGTGAGAATAAAATATTTGTAAGATCAATCCTTAAAAATTAAAAATATAATTAACAATTTAGTCTCCAAAGTTTAAAAATTAAAAAAGTTGTTAAATTAAAAATAATTAATAGATATCTTTGCCACATACACAAGAACAGTATTAGATATTTATGATAAATCAAGCGAAAGAAAATTTTTTAACTAAGTTACGATAAAAAGTCTAAAAGACTAGACAAATACAATTAATAACATTTCTTTAATCTCAATCATATTTCTTTTTATAGAGTGAGCTAATTACATGATTTAATCGTAGATGTCTAATACTGTTCTCAAGTATGGGACAAAGACATCCATTAATTATTTTTAATTTACTATTTTTTAATTTTTAAACTTTGGGACTAAATTGCTATATTTTTAATCTTTAAGGACTAATATTGTAATATTTTATTCTCATTTTAACGGAAAATTAACAGATTCCGTTAGTTTAAAGGCTAAAATCTTTATACTTATAAATTCATTGATTAAAAACTTCTTAGTATAAAAATAAAGAATTAAAACCTTTAAATTTATTAAAATAAGGACTAAAGATATATTTTAACCAAAATTCTAAGTATATCCAAGATTTTCCCTCGATTAGAAGGTTAATAATTATAGGATTTGACCAATAATTAAGCTCCACCAGGATGGGAACATGTTGAATATCATAATCGGAAGGCTCATGACGAGAGGCAACAAAGCCTTGTACGTACAACCATTGTGATATAAATATGCTGTTTGTACCTCATCAGACATGCGGCATTAACAACACTTTGGAAACACAGATACTTCTCTTTGTAAGCGTCTCACTCAATCGCCTATATTCACTTGCGATTACAGGCATATATCTTCACTTATTTAACGTAAAAAGTTTATACTCCCTTCACATGATATTGTTTGCTGATATATGACTGTGATTATCGTTAATTTTTCAGAGAGTACAAGATGACAAATATTGTAGCTTT